CATTGACGCTCTTTCTGTTGGCTGCCTTCACTCTGATTCATCCATGCTGATTCATCCTGTATCCTATGGGGTGGGCCTGGGGGTGAAAGGCTGGGTAGAACCTGGCACTGTCTCCTCTAGATATTACAGTTCAGTGGAGAAGACACACATTATTCAAGAAGCACAAATAAAAAAAATGCAAAATCTCAACCATCCTTGGTCCTTAGAGGTCGATATCATCGCATAGCTTGACAGGTTGCTGACAGGACAGACTGACAGAACAGATGCCTCAGAAGATATCACTAATGGTGCGACCGAGGGAAGCTCTCTGAGGAGGTGATCACCGAGCTGAGAACGGACGAGTGAGGAGGAATCAGCCACAGCAGAACGGGAGGAGGAGCACAGGCTCTGTGCTGGTGGTTATGTCAGGGAAAGGGACAGCACAGTGCAGGCAGACTGGGCAGTGGCAGGCAGCAGGTGGAACACGGAGGAGGCCAATGGGGAGAATGTGGACTTTGTAAACCAGCGACTAATCCATCCATCTGAGGAAGGGACGCCAATCCCATCAGGCCATGGTTCCAGCCAGCGAGCTTGCTAGGATTCCACGTTATCCCCACGGGCCTCTGTCTGTGGTAGCTCCAGACACACAGAGGAGTTTCCTCCCGATGAGAAGGCTCAGTGCTTCTGCCCCCGGGGTCAGGGCGACTGAAGGCAGGACAGATGAACGTCCTCGGAAAGCGTATGCCTTGCGTTAAATGGCTGCCGGGTATGAAGCCCTGGGGACAACCTGGGGGAGTGATTGAAACCCCCAGACTCTCTGTGGTCAGTGATGAGGGCAGGGGCTTCATGGTGGATGTGGTCGTGGGTGGGGCCGCGCTTTTCGAGTTCAGCTTCCCTCTAACATGCTACATTTTACTTTTGTACTCACGTGGCCACATCAGTACCTGCTTCGTCTTATGATTTCAGGATTCAGCAATGGCATTATTTTAAATTTGGAAGTGGGCATTGAGACGATCTAGTTTCTCTCATTCGCTCTCAAAACAGTTATGTCTTTGTATCTGAGTAAGGTGAGACTCTGCTTCAATCAAACATCTCGAAAACAGAGCTCAGAAAAATGATCTCGTATTTAATGATAATTCTAAATTTTCCACCCCCAAACTGCATGTATTTGTGAAAATCTTCTTGCATTAGTGAAAACAGTCAAGTGCTTCCATACGACTGAGGCAACTGGGGAGAGTTTAGGGCCATTCCACATAAGGGACAGGCTTCCACATGGGGAAGCTGAGGTTGGAGACCTCCCAGCAGCAAAGAAAAGGCATCTTCTAACCCTGGGGCAGGGGACTTATGAGTTTAGCTTATGGGACCGGTGCCCTGGTGACAGTGTGCAGAACACGTGCCTTGGCCTGGGGCCACCAGGGACAGACTCACTGAACACGAGCTCTGCTCTCATGAAAGTACAAGCTTTCGCTCTGGGGACCATGAATAGAGCGTCCACACTTACAGGTCAGCACCATCATTCTACCCTGTCACTTCTGGCCACTGGTCAGTCCTGAGACATTCCTTCAGAACGAAGCACCTACATAAGAACACACAACTACTTACACATGGTAGCAAACCAGCCTTTCCCATTTGGGGACAATGAAACCTGTTTGCCCTGTCCTGTGACCTCAGGATACTGCCACTGACCTGTTCCAGTCACTTCTGACTGTTGCGGTGGGATTTCCTCACCTAGAGGATGCGGGCTTCACTCCCTAATCGCACGGTTCGTAAAGACAATCTCCAAGCCCGTGAATCTATCCTATTTGAAAATAAATTCAAAGAAGCTGCTAGACAAAGGCCCAGGATGTATCAGAGTCACTTTCAATTTTCTTCACTTTTTTTTTTTTCTGAAAAAATAAGGAAGCTAGTCATTCACTGTAAGTCTTTGGTTGCATGGAAGCAATAGCAAATTACGGACGGCAGCCTGAAATGAGGAGACAGATGATGTGGTATCGGCAGCTATTGGTACAAAGTTCAGAGCAAAGAGACAGTGGTGCTGAATTTGAGGAAATGGCAAAACTGTAGCGAGGACTTATAAATCCTAAAGCTCTTCTCAGTGTTTCCCATAAATCACCTCAATGAATCTCCCCAGGGCTTACTGAGGGGATGCTGTGACTATCCCCATTTAATACAAGAAAACTGAAGCTCAAAGAGTTTAAGTGCCCGAGTGGCAAGAAAGTAAGTGGTGGAACCAAATCCAAACTCCATCAGGTGACCTGTCCCCAAAGGGCATCCATGTCCCGGACAGGACCACCTCTAGCCCGGATGAGCACGGGTCAGCCTAGAGATAGTGCTGTCATCCTGACCAAGCCAGGCCAGTACAGGGAAGGAGCTGAGCATAGTCTAGTTGCGATGTTTGCATCTATGAAATATCTAGTTATAGTGACTTTTACATGTCAGCAACTGTTCTTCATCTATCAAAAGTAGTGCTGTTAGGAAATTAGCGTAACTAGTGGTCACAAGAGATGCTTGGTCCTTTGCAAGAAATAACAAGGTATGATACTGAATAAGTCCAGGAAGTTCAAAGCCACAGAAAGAGAATAAGCAACAGGAAGACTCAGCTCATCAGCTGTTAGACTAAGAGAGGCCCCAGCATCCAGCCATCCAGACAGAAGAGGAGTAAAGAGAGTTTTCCAAGGCCAACAGCTTGCTGCAAGGGCCACCCCAGCCAGCCCCCCGCTGCAGCAGGAGCCAGGGGTTCCCACTTCGGGCTTTTTTTTCAGGGAGACCCACACACAGAAGCATCATTTGTCTCTATTGCCCGAAGGGCACACATTATATATGTAGTATTATTACGTTTCGGGTCAGATCTTCCTAATTTGTATATATCAAACCCTTCAGCTTTTAAGGAAGGAGTAACCCTTCCGTAAGCCTCAAGAATAATTTCACAATAAAATACTGTCCAGTCGAACCTTCCAGAAGTTTGTTCTGCTGCCTTCTCACTTGATTCTCGAGATTTTGGCATCTTTTATGGAAGATAAAGCTTCACGCTTCCCTTGTTAAATGAGTGCTTGTATCCTGGTAGATACAAAAATGGAACCACTGGGAATACACACCAGGGAGGTGGCAATGTCCCTCTTCCACATCCAGAGCTGGCCATGAGATCATGCTGAAGCATGAGTCTCACACTTGCTTAACCAGAGCATGTATTTAAAATAATAATTAAAAAAATCTATTCTTAAAATGTCTTTTTCTTTGCCATGTATTTTTGTGAAGGAAGCTGCTATAAAAAATAAAAAGGAATTATTATTATTTTTTTTGATTCAATATCACACTGGTCACTGAGGGCCTCCCTGGTGGTCTAGGGGTTAAGTCTCAGGGCTATCATCTCCAGGGCCTGAGTTCGATCTCCCGCCAGGGAGTGACCCACAGGGCGCGGCAGACCTCTCCTGTCTCCCTGCTGCTCCCCTCAGCAGTGTGCTTCAGTCAATCTCCCTGTTCTGCTTCCCACTCTGTCTCTGGTGAATCCTCTCACTGCTCACCTCTGGACTACACTCCAGGTCTTCTATATAAAGGTCAAATAAATATAAAACTTAGAAAAATATATTTTAAAAAAGTGGCAACCGAGAGGGAAATCTTTGCATCCACCAATTTCTTGTTATTTGTCTTTAGTTAAAATTTCCATATTCAGAACGAAGATCTCTTATCGTTAAAGATGGTATTTATAACAATACATATAAATTATATTGATGGAGTAAAGATATTTAGTTTTATCCAATTTACCTAATTCTAGCGGCTTATCAAGTGACCATCATCTGCAAAATTTTAGCATTTTGAAGTAACTGGAAAGGTAGTTTAGCACTACAATCAACTTCAATATCAATCAGTTTCATTTTTACGCATTACCTTTTTGATACCTACTTACAGATGTTTCACAGATGAGGAATCTAATAAGTATGTATGTTTCCTACACATCTTCCCACTAGTGTCAATTTTCTAATTCTTTTTTTTTCTTTGTTTTTAAATGCCTTCCTAAATAACTATGTGCGATAAAATAAGCTGCCAATATTTAATCTTAGCCGAGGCCTTGCCCTGTCTTCTGAACACAACTTCTTGCCGTACGCACTGTGATAGGAGAGTCTGAGGGCGCCGTCTGCATTTTTCCTGTCCCTAGAAACCTACTGTGATGCTGTTGTTCCCTAAGAGTGAAGAGAAGGTCTAGACAGTACAGATTCCATGTTGCAGCGTGTTGAGGGGGCTGACTCCCTCCCCTCCCCTTCTCTCTCCTCTTCCTTGTCCCCACCCCTTTCTCCACAACAGATGGGCCTCTTTAAGCCATGTTTTATGGCAAATCTGTTTTCAAAAGTGCTTTGGAAACAATATGTTACTGGGAAATCGACATCACAACTACAGAGTTAACCAATATTCCGCTTAAAATATTCTTTGAATCACAAGGATTTACTCTGACTTCCCAGGCTAAACGCGCCACGTGCATGAGGCGTTCCTGTATTTCCCCCCAATCATCTCTGCAAATTTCCGCTGATTCCTTACACTTTTGTTGTCCTTTCATGCTTTTCCCCCTAGATCTACAACTTCAAGGGACTTCTATTTTTCAACTCTACTCTAAAAAAAAGTGGCCGAATCACTGTGATAGAGACAAGGCATCTTCTAGAAACTTCGAATGACACGGTCTGCCTCTCTGATGCCGTGTTAACGGGATGCACTTAGCGCATCCCACGGACACCAGAGCCCTGACAACCTATCCAGACATAGGGCTGCAACTCCAAGAGGCGCAACCATGGTCGCCTGCCCACCTCCAGGACACAGCTTGAGGGAACATGGGAAGGCTGGCTCTGAGTCAGCAGGTCCTGGGTGCTGTACGTGACAATGGAATGCTGTTCTGGAGAAGGAACCACAGGACCCGGGACCCCCAGAACCCTGTGGGCTTTCGTGTGGCCTGTGAGGTTGCTGAGAGGCGATGTGTCGCGGAGACCCTGGGTTCTCTGGCAGCGATGCGCAGAGAGACATGCGCTGGCACTCACAGTTGTGGCAGGTGGCCCCGCTGTATCCCGTCTCGTCACAGGTGCATGTGAAGCTGTCCCAGGCCTGTGAGCACTTGCCGCCGTGCTCGCAGTGATTGGGCACACATCTGTCAGAGAAAGAGACAACAGAAATAAACCAACAAACTATGAGATTTACGAGCGGCCGAATTCCAAGCTGTCTGGGCAATATATCATTTCAATGCCAAGTTGCCTTCCCAAGGCAATTAATCCTTGTTAGTTTAAGCAGATTAATGGGATTCATGATGGAAGGTGCCGAGCCCACAAAAGATGATGTATCGCAGGCCGGTGGTTCCCATTTTTGAGTAAACAGTAGAAATTAACAAACAGTGGAGAGGTTCATTTGCATACCACACATTCATTTTCTTTTTCTTTTGCACAGAAACAACGGCACTGGCTACATTTCCTCCTGGTGAGGGCTCAGAGAGAAGCCATCTTGCTTCCTGGCTGATTTTCCTGCATGCCGGCACCAAGCACAACGGGGAAACACTGAGATTTTCATAGCAATTTGAGTTTTAGAAGTGATGCCGTGTGTGTGTGGGGCGGGTGGAGAGGGCACAAGGAGAAAATGCTGGCCTCCCTCCTTCTCCCATGCCCACCCGGCTGGTGAAAGTCACCTTCTTAGACAGCCGGCACAATATGGGGGGAATGCAGGGTGCGTCACATCTCTGACGTTCTATTTATTAACAGCCACGGTGAAGCTGTAATTGAACTTTTCTGAACCTCAACTCCTCATTAAAAAAACGAAATAATGAAAGCTGTCTTATAAATAGGTGGACGGCTGAGAGAGTCTATTCGTTAACTAGATGGCTGGCAGTCAGCACTCGGAGGGCCACGAGAGGGGGGCTCTGGATGTCCCATCACAGTCTCCCAGGACAGTTCCACAGCTTGACCGCATCATAGCAAGAGTGAATCTGGAGTCTGCTCTGCACACTCCTGTCTCAGCCACGGCTGACCTCCCTTCTACCCCACCCAGTCCTCGCTGCAACTCCCCCACGCCTGATTGTAACTTAAAGTCCTGGTTAGAATGCTCACAAATACCCAAGGCAGATGAGTAAGTGCTGGGGTTCACAGAACATCTGTAGATTTTAAGAAGACATCCACAGAATCGACACCCGGGGGTCACAGGAAGTGGGCCGAGAACCCCGCTCCGGGAGCTCCTGGTCAGGGCCCTCTCCGGCCCTCATTCCGGATTCCCACCGTGCCGGTGACGCCCAGGTGGGCACGGATGTGGGGTGGGGAGGGCTGCTCTTGCACAAATCTTTGCAAACCTTTAGTTGCGGAAGGGGCAGGCGTGGAGCGCTTGGAACGCACATAGCCCTGCCAGAAAAAGAAGAAGAACACCCTGCAGCCGCTGCCTGTGGAGGCCTGACACGCCGGGAAAGTGGGTATGATGCTGCTGGCACAACTGGAGCGAAGCAGGGGCGAGCACAGGGTCGACGAGGCACCGTGGGCTCACAGGACGGAGCAAATGGAGATGGAGGGCACCGTGGAACTTGAGGTTCGGCCTGAATGAGGGGACTGGGCAATGAGAGAAAAAGGAACGATGTGGCTTGCTGGGGGAGCCAGTGAGAGGAAAGGCGTGGGGTCCCTCCCCCGGGGGGTGGGGAATCTGTGCACACTGAGCAGTGACATTTCAGAAGAATCTGGCTTGTGTCATCCCGGTCAACAGGTGTCTTCGCGCTCCAAAGACCTTCCTGCCCGGCGGGGAGGGGGAGGGAAGGCTCACGGGAGGGACACCAGCAGGCACAACGGGAGGAGTCAGGACGAGGCAGGAAATGCCACAGGCACTGGGGAGCTTGAGGAGTTGCTGGGAGAATTTAAACGTGATAAAGTCTGGAGTATTGCGGACCCGGAATTGTTTTTTAATTTTAAAACAAATGCATTGTTACAATTAAAATACATACATTTAATATAAAATCTTATATTTATATGATATAAATGTAAATAACATAAACTAATGAAACAGGATGTAAATAAATGTAAAATAATTAAAATATCGAAAACCATTTG